AATCTGACAGTGCCTCACCCATTGCCTAAGGAATTAAGTTTAAATCCCACAGGATTATGGACCCATCCCATCCTTGTTTAGAACTTGGCATTCAACACTGGGGTACTCGGCCTCACTCTATGACAACTGACTGCTGGTGGCCTTAAGGAAAATAACCCTATTTGAGGTCAGCCACTGAAGGAACAGAGACTGGTTTATGTCCAACATAAATTTCTAACAAAGGAAGTTTTTGATTGCTTAACCTCCCAGAGAGGGTGATGGGGGGTGTTACCGGAGGTAACTGAAGCACTCAAAGTTATATTAGACACATTTGCCACCTGATCTTAAAAATGCTATGAATGATTTGAAGATTGCATTTGATTATGCTACAGCTAGTTTGGTAGAACTAGGAAGGGTGTAACGGGGAAGTTTACTATGTTGAAATTCAAGTCTTTTAGGATTTTTACAGCAAGAGTTGGCAAAATATAGCCCCCGGGCCAAATTTAGTGCACAGCCTGTTTTTGAAAAAAAAAAAAAAGTTTAATAGGAACACAGATATGCTTATTCATTGATGCATTGTCTTCCCCCCACCCCCACCCCCATAGCATTTTGCAGTTGCAATATAGGCCATGTGATCTTTAAACCAAAAGAAAAGAAGGAAGGTGGGGAGGAAGGGAGTGACTGGCTCTTTATGAAAAGTTTGCTGTCACCTGTACAGACTGGTAGGCACTGAGAGGTACAACATGAGAGGAAGAGTGGAGGGTATGCCTTTAGAAAGATGAAAGTAGCTGAGCAAGAAGTCTTCCTGTTTTACCCTCTATATCCCCATCTGTTAATACTCATGGGCCTTCAAAGGAAGAATGAATGGACTGAAATGATCGTCTACCTAAGAGTTTTTGTGCCCCTCCATCAGTGGGCTGGCTGATGAGACTGACAAATGCATCTTGGACTCACCCTCCAGCTGCATTGCATGGATTTAGTCAGCATTCCTTCCCCTAGGTGTTGTGAAATGCATCCAGGAGCTGTTGGTGCCTTTGCACCTGTGAAAAAGCAGTCTGCCGTTGCTCTCTCTAGGTCAGTGAGATCAGCTTCCTGATTTCGGCGGAGTTAATGGGGTCCTGTAACAGCAGAAGCAAAGAGGCACCAAGCATTATCCACCAAAGACAGAGAGTAGCTACACCTTCCATAATGGAAGGTGGGGTTATAGAACCATCAGAAAGCCTTGCCCTCTCTATCACTGCTGGCAGCTGAGATGTTTTTGGGCAGATCCCTGTGGTGACTAAGAAATGAAATAGATAGGCAACTTTTAGTTGTCAGAACTGAGAGCTTGAGTTTTAATTATTTTCCAAACCTCTGTCAATTCACAGATCCAGAACTCTTCCCCAGCTGGACCAGCAGCCATTTACTAGAGAGTATCCTTTGAAGGAAAGGAAGCACTCAGACTTTTGTACCAATTCCTAGAAGCCAAAAACACCAAATTAGCAACTCACCGTGGCCAAGTAACACATGGAATTGCAACTGGCATTAGGCTTCACTTCAAGTTTTCCCTCCTATGGATGAGGACGAGGGCAGGCATCACATGCCTTTTTGGGTGACACTATCCCAAACCATAACACTTTGTCCCTTCTATGACTTCTTGGGAAGGGGTGGGGGTGGGGATTTTTTTAGTCCAAATGATAAAGAAAACTCAAACCTGATTTGCCCGATGAGTTTGCACAGTTACCCAGGAGCACTGAGAATAGACAGCTGCAGAATTTAGCCCAGCCCATTGTTAGTTGTAAAGATGCCCCCCTCACCCCAAAATCAGGAAATTCCTCCTATAGGTAGAAATTGTGATTTGTTCACTGTGTTTAGAATGAGAGATGGCCAGGGGTATAGATCTTTACTGGTTGACTGGAAGTTACACTTGTTTTTATGACCAGGGCTTTGAAAGAATTAAACCTAGTGACTAGTGATGCTGGAATTTGAGGCTATGTATTCAAGTCTTTCAGAAGGGGCAGACCCTGAAGAAGTTTATCTCATCTAAATACACCAAAGGATTTTTGACTTCATGAGAAAGCTTTTAATGACCAAATGGAAAAAAAAAAAAGACACACCCCGTGGGCCATGAACGTCAGACAGCACCCCTCCCCAGCTACCTGAGTGCTTTGTCCATGGCTGTGAATGGTGGGTCTGGTGTGCAGGAATGGAGGTTGTCTCACCAGATCTGCTACTGTGTTCCTATTGACAGAGAACAACGTTGAGCCCTGTAGTGGACAGGGAAGGCTGAATAGTCCAAAGGGTAGCCTTTACTGCTTACCAGTTTACGATTTGTATGCTGTAATTATTAGCCTGCTCTGCAGTATTGGAGCAAACCGCTGTACCAGCTGGTGTTGCGTTCAGCCCTGGCAGCAAAGTGCTTCAAGGACACTGAGCCTATCAGGGGCTTCCCTTCCTGGCCTCAGGGCTGTACCAGTACTCAGTGCTTTCCATGGCTTTCTCCAGAGGTAGGCCCCTATGAGGAACAGCTTTCCTAGGATTGGTCACCTGTTTTTTACAGGACACGACTTGGGCAGTACGGCTGTCTGTCCTTGCAGCCTGAGTCACTGCTCCCCAAACTCTTTCCCAGACTTGCACAAGGGTCTGAAACAAGTGGTCATGAGTGGAGGTAGCTCTCTACCCTCTATCCCAGGCAACCAGCCCCAAATTAACTTGACCTCAGCTACACATTGAAAAAGTGAGCTTGACTTCAGAAGCCAACACTGTTCTCATCACCTCCCAGTCCCCGGAACCTGTTCCTCCCTGTGAATTGCCTCTTCCAGGTCTCCCAAAGGCACTATCTGGCAAGTCTCAGAGTTGTTACCTGCCTCTGTCAACTCTATCACTGTAGCCATCAGGCGCCTATCCCTCCCTTAAATGCTATTGAGTAATTCTGTTGCTGTGCCCCTGTCAGTATCACCTTTACTAGGGCTGATTTTTCTACTACATAAGGTTGGTTATGATCTTGCCTTACAGTCATCAGCCCCTAAAAGAAGAAGAAGAAACGGGTAAATTCCACATTCCCCAGAAGATGTTCAGGCTGTTTGTGAATTGGTTTCTACCTTTCCTCCCCATGTCCTCTCCTGCTATTTCCCATCTGTGCTCGGATAAGGCCGTGGCCTTTTTTACTTGTGCCATTTTATCTCTCATCTCTGTCTTGGCAATCTGCCTAAAAGTTTCTTATCTTTCCAGACTCTGTTCAGCCATGTCAGTCAGTCATGCCTGGACACTTTCTCCTAAGACCTCTGCAAGCGTTCTGCCTTCTTAGTCTCCTCATAGCACATATGACCCTGCTTTGCCTGTTGGCTTGTGCTATATTATGCTGACCCCCTCAGCCTCTGTTCCCTGAGGAGAAAAATTATCGGGAATGTTGTGGTCAAACTTAGAACAATATTTGACACATCAGAAATTATACAACTACTTCAAGTTTTGAAAGATAGGTGAAAACCTAACAGGTCATTTTATTCTAACATGAAACTCCCAAAGCTAGATAGAATGCCCCGAAATATTGGAATCTCACTTTTTACGGGCAACAGACATCATCACTGAGGCATCTTTGGTGGCCAAAGTTAATTCTTTTTTCTTATTTTAAGTTTTGTAATAACATTGGAACAAATGCTGAATAAAGTGTCCAAGTTAGTTTTCACTGTTATAAATGACATTTTCTTTAATTATTGTGTAATTATTTTGGGTGATAACAGGCAATTTTCCTTTCTGTGTCACTATTAATAATGGGGAAAGGCATGGAATCATATACTGAGACCTTTTACATTTTATTATTTTATTTATTTATTTATTTATTTGTTTGTTTGTCTACTATCTGTCTATCTATCTATCTATCTATCTATCTATCTATCTATCTATCTTGGTTTTTTTGGGATAAGGCTTCTTTGTGTAGTCCTGGCTCCTAGAACTTGATCTGTAGACCAACCTGGCCTCAAACTAAAGTGATCCTCCTGCCTCTACCTCCCAAGGGCTGGGACTAAATTTGTGCACCACCACCACCCAGTTTACATTATATATTTTAAATGACCATGAAGGAAATTTCTTTCAGCCTAATTCAGACTGTCATCAAGTCATATTGTTCACATTAAGACAAACACAGTGTTCTCTTCTCGTGCTCAATTGCAAACAGCCCTTCATCAGGCCAACTTCTGCCTTTACATGCTGGAGGCCAAGAGACATCTCACGTAAACCTAAGGCTGTTTTCATTGCATTTGTGTGAGTTATTGAAATAGCTTCGGAAAACAATGACTTCAATTGATTGTAAATTGTAAGCTACTCTACAGGAAGAACAAATCTGGGAGAGAATACAGCTCACTTCCTAGTAAAGCTTCTTGATCAGCTCACTTAACTGGTTAATGGCCAAGAACATGAAAAGAAGGTCACTGTTGAGGGTGTTTGCCAGTGCATGCCAGCCAGCATAACTTTACTTCCCAGTGCCTCTGGCCTCCTTATAATCCACTTAACGAAGTCCTTTGACTCCTTGCTTAGCAAGCTCAGATATATTTCTTTTTTAAAATCTGAAGATGTTTTTGCAATGCAGTAATACACACACACACACACACACACACACACACACACACACACACACATATATATATATATGTCATATAGTAGTTATTGACAGAGTTAGCAAAATGTGTGGTTTCGTTTGGTCTGGTTTTATTTTTTTTTTCCTGGCAAGAAAGTTTTATTCTTACATAGTGGATCATAGTCAATTACCATAACTATTTTCTTCTTAAATATAATTTTCTTGAGGGTAAGATGTCTATGTATTCTTTAAGCCATAAGAGTACCTTGTAGCTCTTGTTCAGTTTTTGGTTGAAGTAATGAATATACCTGACTATAGGAAAGAATCACTACTAATATCATCTATCATCTCTGTTTGTAGGTATTACTATTTAAAGAAACCTTTTTACCGGAAAATCTATGATAAAAAGTATAAGTAACAAAGGAAACCATAACTGTTGTCTGTCAAGTAACAAACATTTAATGCCAGAATGGCTCACCTAAAGCGACTGGTAAAATTGCACATTAAAAGACATTACCATAAAAAGTTCTGGAAGCTCGGTGCAGTCATCTTTTTCTTTTTAGTAGTTTTGATTTTAATGCAAAGAGAAGTAAGTGTCCAATATTCCAAGGAGGAATCAAAGATGGAGAGAAACTTGAAAAACAAAAACAAAATGTTAGACTTTATGCTGGAAGCTGTAAACAACATTAAAGATGCAATGCCAAAGATGCAAATAGGAGCACCTGTGAAGCCAAGCATAGAAATCCCCCAGAGACCCTGTTTGCAAGGCTACTATACAGCAGCAGAGTTGAAGCCAGTTCTTGACCGCCCACCTCAGGATTCCAATGCGCCCGGTGCATCTGGCAAGCCTTTCAAGGTCACCTATCTCAGCCCGGAGGAGCAGAAGGAGAAAGAGCGAGGGGAAACAAAGCACTGTTTCAACGCCTTTGCGAGTGATAGGATTTCTTTACACCGTGACCTTGGACCTGACACCCGACCGCCTGAGTATGTTGAAGAATATTCACTTACTGTTTGTCAGCAGGGTTTTCAAGGAAGAGGTGTTAACTGAGGCTTACTCTCTAGGCACTCTGAAGCAAAGTATCAGCCAGTGCTGTTCACTGGATGTTCCCTTTGATTTTGTGGATAATGATTGAGGCAGAGTATCCTTAGCTCTTGCTGCTTTGGCAGTGGAGACATGAAATGTACCTTCTGAATTAGAAAACTGAATTCTAGATCTGATGTACACTCAAGGGGAAATCTCTTTTTTTTTCTCAAATGCTATAATTTCCCCACCTATTTAGGAACATTGGGACAGTTTTATAGAAAATGTAGGCGGTGACGGGGTTGTTTTCATTTCTCTGATTTGCTATGAAATAGAAATGTTTTTTTAAACTGTACCAAGATTTTGAAGACAGGAGGTAGTTTATTGGTTTGTAAAGTGTGTCCCGCACTTTGTGAGTGCTGTCAGGACGTGGTTATACCTCAGAGTGCTCTGAATTTTGTACACTTTGCTTTTAAGAGTGGATGTTGTTACAACTGACTTCTATTCTCTCAGAAGCTCTGCTGATGTGTTCTCATGTCTGTAGAATCAAAGGCAAATAGTCCTAATTAAGTGATGATATTTACATACTTGTCTCAACTGTGCAGAATCTTTCTCTGTGCCTTTAACTAACCGTTTTGTTACCTATAAGGTGATGTGCAAATGCTGCATTTGAATTGCAAAAGGTGAGATGAATCCTGAAATCTTTAACCATTCATGAATTTTTGAGACACGCAAACAGTAAACAACTGGTGCCCACTGTATATTTTGTTTCCTGGTTCTAACAGATGACATTTGCCGTTGATAAATATGTACACACACACACACACACACACACACACACACACACACACACACTTTTGTAGATGGGTTTATTCTTTTTCTCAGATTTCCTAGATTTGTGATTGTGAATTCCTGCTCTGACTACATGCATGCCTGTATGTTGAAGTTGCAGGGGTAGATTGATGTCACTCTATTCTAATTGGCGTGGTTCAAGGTTAAGTTGCCCATCAGTTCAAAATAAATGTAGGAAGAAACAGTTGCTCTATAAAATATCCTAGGGTCCTGTCTTTAATCAATAGATTCAGATGCAGTGTTACATTCTACTTATTCTGGGAGAATTCATGACTGAAAATCGGTCCACATAAGAACTCATTAAGCATAATTTTTATTCATTGAGATGTCAGTTACTATCAGCTTAAGATGGACATTTTAATTCTAACACTAGCAAACTTCAATAATGTTCAGTAATTTAACTACCGTGGAAGGGAATATCAGCTGAGCACATTAACAGCCATTATGGTTTTGGAGTTGGAGATCTGCTTCTTCAGTACTCTCTGGATAATGTTTTGTGGGGTGCTAAAGGCCAGATGTTTCTTACATTGAAGATAACCAGTATTAGCAGGGCCCCATTTTCTGAAAACCCCACTAATGGTTTTTTGTTGTTGTTGTTTTCCAAAGCTCATCAGTCATGTGGGTCTAGTGTCTCCTAAAGCCAGTGATGACCTGATTTATAATTTAAGCGATTTCTAAATGTTGAATTTTATAAATTGCCTTACAGTAAATATAGAGTCTCTGTGGCTGGTTCTCTGATTGTACTATTTTAAATAAGAAATGGGGTTTTTTTAGCATAAATTTACTGTGTCTGTTATTTCTAAATGATTGTAGCTTATAAAGTCATACTGAGAAATTTTATCTCTTGCATTAATGATAGATAGAACCAAGAGTTTGCTGTGACTCTCTCACTATCATTTTTACCAATTCTCATTAATAGTTACCTGTTAATAAATCCTAGCTTACTTGAGCAGAGGAAACACCTTGCACAATTAAATAATAAATTGGTATCATTTTACTAGTGATACATATGTGTGTTTGTGTGTGTGCACTTTTGTCCATTGCATCTTTAATATTATATAATTCTTAATTGGTATTGTATTAATTGATTACAAATAAAGGTAGGTGAAAGTCCTTAATCCCCAAATTCTCTAATAACATGAGAAAATGCCATACATACCGTGGGGTTTTTTCGAGAAGTGTTACTTAGAGTTTATGTTGGTTTATAAAACACTATATATTAAAATATGAACTTCTATTAGTAATTTATTGCTGTGTCATTATAGTAAAGTGTACATATGTGTTTGCATTTTATTTTTACTTGGTAGTTTATTCAACATGAAGTTCTATTTAGTAAGTAATTTATTGCTGTGTCATTATGGTAAAGTGTACTTCTGTGTTTGCATTTTATTTTTACTTGGTAATTTAGCCAACATTCAATTTACAAAAAGCAACTTGCTGTAACTCTTATGTGACATTTTACCTCCCACAGTGCATTTTATTGCCCTCCCTTTTCCCTGTCAGCTTATCCTCTTCATAGTTACTTCTTATCTAATTCCTTTTCTCTTCCATAAACATTTCACCCCACTGACCTGCTTTTGGGAAAGAATCCCAAACACATTTCTACCTAGGTGTGGGTTATAAAAGGCTTTTTCAAGAGAGAACTTGCTGATTTGTTTGCAGGCTCAGCTGCCTCACTGGAGATGGCCCATTAGCCACTCAAAGCAACTGAAGTGTGTTGGGTCTTATCTCTACCAGTGAATGATTTACTTCCTTGACTTTGAGTTTGAACAGCAATGTTTGGTTGTTTGCTCACTGTTTTTATAGGGTGGGGGAATGAGATAGTCTGCTGCTCAAAATGATAGAGTCATGTATGACATTTAAATGAACTTATAGGCACTGTTGCCTTGTCAGCTTATCTTTTGCACAGACCACACATAGTTAATTTCGTGCCCTGGCTTGAAAAGCCCTCACTCTTTCTCACTCCAAAGGCTGTTGACTCTGTTCGTCATGGCTTCTCATCTCAAGGGCTGGAGGATGTACTGAGCCACCGTAGCCTTACTGTCCTAACCACTGTTGCCTTGCTGTCCTAATTAGCTTATAAATAATGTTATGAAAGTGAATTTGATAACAATCTGTAACAAATGCTTTTAGGTAACTGATAGTAATACTAATCAAATCAAGACCACCGAGGAGTTCTTTTCCTGTGTACACAATGATTATATTCACAAGACCTTTTTTTTTTTTTTTCCCTAAAGACAGGATCTCACTGGCCTAGAATTTACTTTGTAGACCAGACTCACCTCAAGCTCACAAAGATTCACCTGCCTCTGCCTCTGCCTCCAAGTGCTGGTACTGAAGTGATGTACCATCATGACTGGCCCAGCACAAACCTTTTAACATGGATATATAGGTCTTTAAATTTCTAACTGTGTCTTGTTAAAAGACAACTTGAAAATGATAGGTCTTGATCAAACAGCAAAGCACATTATCAGGGTGAGTTCCTTAACGCAGATGTTTAAATGGTACTAAAGCATTTGCTGATCATAAGAACCTAGGTTTCATGGTAAGCTTACTTCCCAGTTTGTTTCCATATATAAACCAAATTGATTAATTTAACTTGGAAAATACTTAGGAAACACACATCCTATACTTACAAATGTATCTAACTTAAAATAATTTCTACCAAAGCGACTAATGAAGTTTAAATCAAAGAAGAAAAATGGGTGACTTTGACAAGAAAAAAAAACTATTTTGTTCATTACTTCATTACTGAGCAATAGTTAGACAAATAAACATCGCTGTTTATTGGGTTTATTTATGTATTTGGGTTGCTTAATTTATTTTTGATATTTATTTATTTGAGTTGCTGTCATTGGAATGATAATGATTAGATAATGGTCATTTATTATTGGTATAGAAATGGTATAATGATGGTGAAATAAATCAGTAAAAGTCATAATTGTTCTCCTCCTCTAACTTCTTCTAGATGTATTGAACAAAAATTTAAGCGCTGCCCTCCCCTGCCTACCACCAGTGTCGTAATAGTCTTTTATAACGAAGCGTGGTCCACGCTGCTTAGAACTGTCCACAGTGTGCTCTATTCTTCACCTGCAATACTGCTGAAGGAAATCATTTTGGTGGATGATGCTAGTGTAGATGGTAAGAAAGCATATGCTTGTCAATAAATCTCATGTCTAAAGAGTGTCTGGTCTATTTCAGACTCTTTGTGAAGGGTTTGGGTGGTGTGTGATGAATGGTAAAATCTGAATTCTAGGATTCCATATGTGAACATTTTGGATTGTAGAACTTTCTGAACACCATTAGTCAGAACTGTAGTTCTAGGCGGTGTGGCTTTTACTCTAGACCACAGTGGCTAAGAGCACAGATGTGAGCATGAAGTAAAGCTGTCTTGGCTGGAGCCCCAGCTCTGGTCCTAACCAGCTGTGTGAACTTGTAAAGTTACTTGCTCTTCAGCCTCAGTTTCTTTATTGATAAAATGGCGATAACATCATGCTGTATCAAATTTAAATGATGTCATTACCTTAAACTACTGAAAAGGAAAACTACAGTGGGTTTAATTAGCATGCTATTGATTATATGAAGCATCCCATTGTATGATTTAGAACTGCAGCGTCACTGGGTTTTTAAATATGAAGGAGTTCATGTGAGTACCATCATTAATAGGTAATCTTCATAAGTACCTGATGCCACACTGTCACTCCATTGTTTTATTTGGGCATTTCCCCCACTGGAGTGCTGAGGATCTCATGCAGGCCTCATGCATGGCAGGCAACTGCTAAATATGCCCTAGACCTGCCTGGGCTTTCAAAAAAATAATTCAGCATTGTTTTCAAAATTTGCAACGTTCTTTAAATGTTTGTTTCTACTTAAAATCATTAGTCAGAAACTAAGTTAGATATTTTAAGTTGGAATCATCAGGCTATAAATATTCTGATTTCTAATTTTTCAAAATTATAGCTACTTTAAGTACAAAACAATATATTTCAGTGGCTACAAAATTTACTCCTGTATAAGCACAGGTTTGGAGTTGGATTCCCAAAGGCTTGATCTTAGTTGATTCTTTATTTGTGAAATGTGTACCACATGCACTCACCAAATCCAAAGTATTGTTATATATACCGTCATTTTATATTCATGAGAAAACAAAAAGGCCAGTGCTCATTACATTACATTGCTTGTATCCCTAGTCCAAGGGTGGCAATAAGGGCCATAAAATAAAACTAATAGCCATCACATCTACGTGTAATTCCATGTATTCGATGGCTTCCAGTTAAACTTATTATGAATGAAGTGAGTTTGTGTTGTCAACAGAGAAAAATATTTGATCAGAAAAAAAAAGTTGTCCAATTCCAGAGATTTTTTGACATGAATGTGAGACCTCATCTCCCAGTGAGAAAGTTTTATTGTTCGTGTTAGGCTCCATAAATTAAATGTGGGGTTGCAGGCCTACAATGCCAGCTGATGCCTGGGGCTACAGCAAACAAACAAATAGAAAAAAATCAGACTGGACCAAGAGAAGGAAGAGGAGATGATGTTACACACTATGGCCATCTTTGAATTTCTAATACCCTTTCCTGTTACTTTACCACTTAATTGTAACTAACGGGTATTTTGCTTCATAATCCGATTTTGTGGTTCTTGCTGTCTGGTTGGACAGCAGCCAGTGGGTTTTAAGTCATACTTAATTAAGATTTTAATCCCCTATAAGTTTACCTGAAAAAGAAATCAACACTAACATAGTCTTGGAAATGTTTTCCCCATTTGATTTTTTTGGATGCCTTTTTATATATGGTTTTTATTTTGGTTGATTGTCCAAAGTAGTGAGACGATAGAGGCATGGCAAATTTACTTCTAGTAGGCATTCAGTTGAAAAAAAAAATGTATCTTTATTTAAAAGCTCAAACAACCACTGAAGTAAAGGATGTGGGAATGAAGACATACCCATTCAGGTCTTCCTGTTTCAACCCTTCTTGTTGTTTACTTTCCTAATCACTTTCAAAATAAGCAGAAGGCTTACTTAATTACATTAGAGTTATACCAATTTAAAATTTCACTTGACACCATGATTACCCACCCCCCACATTTTGCCTTCAAAAAAATCCTATTTGATGAGCCAGACACACTTTCCCCATGGCTCATCCTGTCTTTTTCCCACAGTACCATTGCATGTCATGTAGCAGTGGCTCCAGGGGCTTGAGCCTCGGCTTATCTGCCCTTGGCCTCTAGATAAGGCTTGAAAAGGAGGACCGATTAGCTAAAAGGCCTGCTCACTTTTGTAATAGAGATAAGCACTTGATAATACATTTGAGCTGCTTTCTTAACAAAATTTATGCTTAAATGCTTGTGAAATTTGTCCCACTGAATCCATCTGAAACTTACCCAGTGAACACCCATGTGGGAAAGATGGCTATACAGAGACTGTGAAAAGCCAGGAGTGGTGGTGCATGCCTGTGATCCCAGTACTCAGAGGCTGAGGCAAGAGGCTCTGAGTTCAAAGGTAGCCTCAGATGCACACCTGTCTTCAAAAAATATATATATACACATGCATGCACGCATGCACGCACACACCCACCTACCCACAGACATCTGTGAAGTAAAAACTAGTGTCTGATAGCAGAAAAGCAGAATGAGGATAAGGGTATTTGGGTGCCAATAAGGTAGGTAAATCCTGGTGAAGGCAAAATCCAGAAATAACATTTTCAGAGTAGTGCCGCCTGGTAGACCCTGCATTCTGATGTCCAATAGTGTCCCAGCTCATTCTCTCAGTAGTCACCTGTGTTGCTTATGCTGTCATGTCCTTCCTATAGATAAGGGATCTAAAGTATAGGAAAGGTAAAATAACTTTTCTATGTTTACACAGTTAAAAGGAGTGGCCCTATAACTGAAGACCTCTGATTTAATGTAATTTTGTACTTCTCAAAAAGGAATATGGGTTGGATAAAATTTAGGGAGCAGATAAAAATTTGAACATATTTCAGTTGTTTGTTTGTTTGTTTGCTTGTTTAAAAAAACAATTTCCCATTTTTAGAGTGGGGGTGTTTTACCTGCATGTGTGCCTATATCAGATGCATTCTGTAAAAGGGGGCCAGAAGAGAGTGTCAGATCCCCTGAGAGTGGAGTACATGTGACCCAGCATGTGGATGCTGGGAATTGAACTTGGGTCTTCCATAATTCCCCTTGTATTTGAGACTGTGCCCTGGACCTCACAAGGTCACTTAAACTGAATTATATATTCACAAGAATTCAAGAATGTAATGGCAAGTTAGATGCATTGGTATAAGCCTGTCATCCCATCACTCTGCAAGCTGAGGCAGGAGGATCACACATTCCAGGCCAGCCTGGGCTGTATAGCAAGACCATGTCTGAAACAAACAAGACACCCACCGTGACAAAAAGGATCTAATGGTGAAAGATTTGACTGAAGATACTTACTGACATGATTCAGTTTTCTTTCATCTATCGTCTCAACTTTAGCTTCTTATCTATCTCCTCCAATCTCAGATGTTCAGTATCCTAAATTGTGTATGTTACTATAGCTTTGTCTGTTTTTTTTTTTATTAGTTCAAATTAGGAACAAGCTTGTTTCAAATGTCAGTCCCTTCTCCCTCTCCCTCCCCTCACCATTGCCCCTCCTACTTTGTCTGTTTTTAATTACCTGATTTACACACCCATTTTTAGTTATGTATTTTATTGGAAAAGAATCCAAAGAAGCCTAAAGTTTTCTGCTGACAGTAGAAATGTCCTCAACCTATCACAACTCTGGGCATCCCCTCCTGGCCTTTTTCTTGGCATTGAGGTATTAAGCTGTTTTGATCTCTGCCTAACAGCTAGTGAATGGTATTGGTTCCCTGGCATTTCTTGTCACGGTTCTCAAATTATAGTACCGGTTTAAAAATTTGTTGAATTTTTTTTTATTAAAATCTCTTTTTCTGACTTAAAGTCACTCAGCTCAGATCACTGTGAACTTTCTGAATTCCTGGGGTCCACTCCATGTAGGCCTGTCACATGCACCCAACATAATGCATGTATTTGTGTGAAGTGGACAGAATAAGTACAAATTATAACACAGTCTCTTTTTCCTCAAAGAGTTAAAGGTAATGTAATTTTTAAAATGTTAACTCTAAGTTCTTATTTCTTTACAGACTACCTGCATGAAAAACTAGAGGAATATATAAAACAGTTTTCTATAGTGAAAATAGTCAGACAAAAAGAAAGAAAAGGCCTCATCACTGCTCGGTTGCTAGGGGCAGCAGCAGCAACTGCGGAGACGCTCACATTTTTAGACGCTCACTGTAAGTGCCTGTGTAGATGGCTTGTAACTTTCCCCCTCCTCCCCTTCATTTCAAAGTTAATTTTCTTTAGCTGTCTAATTGCGTTCTTGTGAACAGTATGTTTAACTGATGATAGCCATGGCAGGCCTGGCAGCTAACAGCTCTGTATAAGAACTTCACATATAGAGGAGCCCTTCCCTCCTCATGCAGAGCCCTTGCCTCCTCAGTGTTTTCAGTAGCCAGCTTTCCCTGGGGTGAGTCTCTGGCTTAGGACCCCTCCCCGAACCCAGATGTTCATTCTGCCCTAAGAAAAAAGGAAGAGCAAAAGGAATTTTTCCTCCCTACACTGTAATATTAAATTTTTATCTAAATATGACCAGCATTATCATTGAACTTTGTCTCAATATTGCCACTTTTAACTTTTATAGTTTTTTGTTTGTTTATCTGTTTTGTTTTTTGTTTTTCTGCTGAAGATTTGTTGAATCTATTCTGCCCAGTAAGGGGTATCCTGCTATGTTGTCCATGAATATCACAGTGTTTGCTAGTTTCGTTACTCCTGGGATGTTTCTCTGTGTTTTCATGGTTTCAATGGCACTATTTTATAGTTTTGAAAAATCCTTTGGAGTCAATGGGCAATGAATATGCTAGACATTAGCAAATACTGTTTAGTCCCTGGAGCTATACGTTTGGGGAGTATTACACTTCATATTAATGCTTGGACTTGAACTGCCTAGCTCTTAGGTGACGATTCACCCAAGAACTGGTTGAAATGTTCAATAATTATCACAGAAAGGCTTTGGCATTTGTTTGGGTTTTTTTGTTGAGAGCCATTGCATCTGATAATCCCTTAATCTAGCATTTGAAGAATGAATAGAGATCGGGAATGTTTTTCAAATGACGGTATCACTTTCTAGTTTTTCTTTTTCTGATCCAAAATGCAGTGAAGTCTGACTTGGCATTCTTCTCTGCTAGACAATGGTCCTTCCTTCCAGGCTGTGACTGACAAAAGTACCTTAATGAGGCCCTCACCTGTGTGATGTGTTGTGTGGCCCAAGGGCATGACTCTGACCTTCATGGGACTCCCTGCTTGTGTCCCACTTCCTTGGGGACTATAGCAGCTTTAAATGATTTTTCTTTAGCTGCTAAATTCAGAATATTCTCACTAGCTGACTTACTTTCTCCTAAGACCCAGGAAGGAAAATTAAGCTTTCAATTACTGTGCCTGAGTTGGTGGAAGGGACACAATTTTAAATACGTTAGAATAATTTTAGGGTTTAGTGGGTAGGCTATCTTGATTCATAGTCCATTTTTTTTCTTTTTCTTTTTTTTTCTTTTTTTTTTTTTTTTTTTTTTTTTTTTTTTTGTTTTTGTTTTTTTATACAGGTTTTTTT